TATAATCGCCCCTGATGTGGGGGCGAATGACATCCAGGATGCACAGCGCCGCTTGCTTTGCTTAAGGGGGTAAGAACGGAGTTGCACAATCGACACAGAATGTCCAGGCGCCGCTTTACCAGCTCAGCCTCGACCGCAGCCACGGCCCCAGGCAGCTGCTCCAGCGGCTGCGGGGCGACATCGCCCCATCGGCGCGCATTCTGGAGGATCGGCGCTTTCCTCTCTGCGCCTGCCTCTCGGTCGACTCTGTCTCTCGCCCTGACCTCGGAGATGCCTCGCTTCGCGCTCTCACCGCTGGGGCGCCTAAGCGCTGCCTGTCGGGCACGAACCGCAGGGCGAATCCCGATGGAATTGGCGATATCATCCACGAAGAAATTACCAGTTTCAGGTTGCCCGATGCACTGCCAGCGCTGGGTTCCCTCAGCGCGGACTCCATCTCCAACTGTCCAGCCGTTTCCCCTGGAGGAGTGGCATCGTCGGGCCACGCCAATCGGAACCCAGCGTTCAGGCAAGCACGCGAGGCGATAGCATTCACAGACGGCAGAGGCTGAGGCACGCGTTCGACCGACAATTCCGTCGGTTCGTTCGTCGCGAAATAACTTTCGCGCGCGGGCTCATTGCCGGACTGCGACCTCACCGATGCGACGCCCCCGCCATCCTCTGTTGCACCCCCGCCCACCACTGCTGGCACGACGCTGGCGACCACAGCAGAACTGCCCAAGAAGTCTGATCCGGGTCTCGATCACTTCTACGAGCACGCGTAGCAGGCGGTCCAAAGCCGGAAACTCCGGCGGAGCAAGGACCCCCCTTTCGCACAAGGGGTTCTCGTGGACCAGGTGCTCGAAGACGGCGAAGACCTCCGTGGCGCGCCAAACTCTGGATCCTGAATACGAGATTGCCGGCTACAACGCGCGCGCCGTCGCGCGACGGGCCCGCGCCGGATCAGGCCACGCAATGACCCCGCAACTCTCGCAGTAGGAGTCGGACCCCATACATCTGACACCACGAGCCCCCCCTGAATAGAAGGCCCCCCCCCTCGCGCGGGCCCGAAATGAGCACGCGGTTCGCGGCGCCAGGGACGGAAACGCTAACGCACTAGCGACGCCCGGTTGCCGGGGGGCCCATCCTGGCCCCACCAGAGCAGGGCGCTCCCCGCGCGCGCCGCCCGCAGGGTTCGGGAGCCACTCGCGGCACGAGCACGCAGGAGGCATTGGAACGGCAACAGACTGCTTTGGAGGAGGGCGCAAGATCGCTCGCACCGAGTCCGACAGGCTAGTTGCTGACTCACGGTGCCCCGGGAAAGCCTCGGGCGCTGGCAAAACTGGGTTTAGTGGAACCTGGTTTAATGATTTGCACCGGGGGCGCACCCCCGCCCCACCCCCACCCACCGGAACAGCCGCCACCCGAAAAAAACACCAGCCACTGCAAACCTTGTTCAGTGAATCTGGCCAATTGAAGGGCCTCGGGGCCCTACCACTAACCGGGCCCCCTTACCCCGGGGTCATAACTATACCCGAAAGCCGCGCCACCCTGAGCCACTTCCGGCGCCTCGAAAATGGAACGGCCAGGGCAGAGGGCGCGCGCCCCTCGTCGTCGCGAGCGCCGGGCTTCCCCCACGCGGCGACGTTTCCAGTCGCGGCCTCCCCCGCCGCGCCCCCCTTCGCGCGCCTCCACGAATTGGCGCCGGGCTGCCCCGGCGCAGCGCCCCCCCCCAGGATTGCGCGAGCACCGAGATCCGAGGGAGCGCCACCCCTAGCAGGCGGAAATCGGATCGGCGGCGCTCGCGCGCCCACGCGCGCGCGGGCCGCGCGGAACGGGGCGCCGAAGCACCTCGCCGTCACGAGGCGCCCTCAAGTCTGGATGGGGATGCTGCTCTCTGCGAAGGGCGCACAAGATGCACGATGGAAGCGCTGCCTTGCAGGGCACCGTGGCCCCTTGACTAGGAGGCGCATTCCGAACCGAAAAATTGTCGCCACGCGTCTAAAATCCATGCGCGAACAGGAAAAGTTCACCGCCCTGCTCCCGCAACCTACCTAACTGATCCAGCAGGTTGCCTGGGAAGGAGCGCACGTGGCGACGGCGCTGCGCGCCAGGACGCGGACAAGCAGTGGTTCCCCGTCTCGCGCCACAGGAGCGGCAGCGCGTGCTCGTCCACCGGGGCCCAGCCCTTGGCGGCAAAATACCCGGCCTCTCGAAATCCGTTCTGAGAGCGCACCCCCCACCACAAACACCACCACGACCTCCGCCCTGAAGGCGGCGATGGCCTGCTCATCCACGCGCGCTGCATCCTCGGCACGCACCGAAACCGCGCCGAGGTCCTGCGTCTCGGGGTCCGCCACGCGCCCACCGCCGCCGCCGCGGCCGAGTGGTCGACGCCGTTCCGGCGCGGGCCGCAGTCCGTCGCGCACGTCCCGAGAGGCGGAGTGATTCATCACGCCGATGATCCATTGTGCCCACTCGGTCCCAGTGCTAGGATACTTCTACAAGTAGTCAGGCAAGTCCCTCAACCCGTGGACCTCTCCACCATCGCCCCACTGTTCGATTTGAGTGGTGAGATACGCATGCATCGATCATTGATAGGTAGGGCTGGGGGGACAAACAGCGGAGTCCACTCTGACACAGTAGTCAGGCTCGTGGCGCGCCGGGCTTGCACGGGCGGCTCCGACGCCCTCCCTCAGACGGAGCGCCACACCACGGCGAAATCGGCAACGCCTCGCAACCGCATTCCCCTGGACGCAACTCCATCGACCAGGACTCCAACAAAATCCAAATACCAAGAACAGATCGCTTCGCAAACACTCGCGCCGGCAGGCGCCGGCAGAAACAACCGCGCACAGGGCGCCCAAGACTCCGCCACGCGAGAAGCCAGACAAAGCGCGACACAAGAACACAAGCAAGATGACAAAAGACAAACAACATAAGAAATTGAAAGAATAAGCTCACCAATAAAAAATCATCACGGGGCGGCCCGGGAAAATCCCCCACCCTGACGCCGCCCCGACGCCTCTCTGTCAACGGCTGTCCAGGCAAGCGCCCTGGCGCCCTGGTGGGAGGCGCCCGGGGAGACATGCAACAGCCCCGAGATACGTCGATCGGTCGGTCGATGCATTTTGCCGACGGAATTCCAAATATCGAAGACGCCCACGGCGAATCACCGCCGCCCCCTGCCTTTTTGGAGGCGCCTATGTGGCCGGACGTCGAGGCCAGACCTGCCAAGCTACCGGGCCACGCGTTCCCCGAATCGATTTGGAAAGCTCCCGGGGAACGTGGGCATCTCGAAGGTCACATTTGGCCGTCTGGAGGCCATGTTGACCCTTTCGGGCCTTCTCGGAGGGCGCACCGGAGGGCTCTCGGGCCGTCTTGGAGGCCACCTTGAGCGTCTTGGAGGCCTCCTGGGCCGTCCTGGGGGCCTCTCGGGGCCGTCTTGGGCCTCTTGAACGATATTTGGGGGCGCTTGGGCCGTCTCGGGCCGTCGGAAGGCCGAAAGAAAGCAAATGCCACAATCCTTCAACAACCATAGGAAATCAATGATTTTGGCCTTTTTCGGGCCTTCCTGGAGGCCCTCTTGGAAGCCGCTTGGGCAGTCCTGGGCCATCTCAAGACAATGTTCGGCCGTCTTGGTGGGCCCCTGGCCCGTCCGACGCCGTCGGAAGCCGTTCGGGGGGCCTCTCTGGGCCGACCCGGGGCACTCTTGGAATGCTCCAGGGCCGCCTTGGAGGCCATCTTGGGCGTCTCAAAGGCCTCCTGGGCCGTCCTGGGGGCCCCTCGGGGCCCCTCGGGTCGCTCTGGGGTCATCTTGGAGGCCTCTTAGGCGATATTTGGGCGATATTTGGGGGCTCTTGGGCCGTCTCGGGCTGTTGGAAGGCCGGAAAAAAAATAAATGCCAAAAACTTTCAAGATACAACCGACATGCATGTTTTTTTGCCTCTCCTGGCCTTCCTGGAGGCCCCCTCGGAAGCCTCCTGGGCCGTCTTGGGCCAGCTTCGTGCCAACTTCGGCCATCTTGGCAGGTTCCTGGCACGCCCGACGCCGCCGGGGGCCGTCTCGGGGGCCTTTTCTGGGCCGACTTGGGGCCCTCTTGGGGCGATTCAGGACCGTCTGGGAGGCCGTCTTGGGCGTCTTGGAGGCCATCTTGGGCGCGTTGGAGGCCTCTCGGGCCGTATTGGGGCACTCTTGGGGCCGTCTTGGAGGCGCCTCGGGCGTCCATGGGGCCCCCCTTAGGGGCCTCTTGGGCGATCTTGAGGGCCTCTCGGGCCGTCTCGAGCCGTCAGAATGCCGAGGAGAAGCAAATTCCAAAATCCTTCAAATACCAAAGGGACATCAATGATTGTGGCCTCTTCGGGCCCTCCTGGAGGACCTCTTGGAAGCCTTTCGGACCGTCCTGGAAGCGCATTGGAAGCGTCTTGGAAGCTTCCTGGGCGACCTTGGGGTCATCTTAGGCTCCCTGAGGCCGTCTTGGAGGCCGTCTTGGGCCATCTTCGGCGGACTTGGAGGCCATCTGGGACCATCTTGGAGACCATCTTGGGCCAACGTGGCCATCTTGGAGGCCATCCTGAGCCGCCTTGGAGGATTTTTTTCCGGGAGTTGAGCTCCTGGAAGATGGCCCCGGGACCCCGGCGGGACGGGCCGAAGCCCCAGGGAGGTTCTTTTGAAAAGAACTCAAACCAAAACCGAAATAATCTTGCACGCCAGGCACCCCTGCGATGAATCGACAGGGGGCGGCGGATTGCTGTCGCTGGCATGTCTCCGTCACCAGAGAGCGAGCCCCGGCCGCGATCGGGCGGGATGGCCGCGCCACAGTTGCCCCTCCTCCGGTTCCACCTGCGTCGCCGAGGCGGCGCCTTCAGCGCAGCGGCGGGCTGCCCTGCCGCGGCCCTCCATGCGCCTGCTATATGCCGCATCTGGTGAAGGAAGGGCCCTCGCACCATCGACTCGCGCATCCCTGTCGGGCTCTTCTTCGCAGCTCCAACGGAAGAAGAGCTCACTCAGACTCGGCGGACCGGGCCATCTGGCGTTTTCTCACCGCCGCCGCGGAGGCGCAGAGATGGGTCGCACCGAGTCGCGGGGCCAGGCGGCGCAGATGGCTCGCGCCCCTGCTCAACACCGCCGCACCGCTGCACCAGCCGCGCGCCCAAGGCCCGCAAGCAGGCTCCGATGCATGGAGGCTGGCCAGGGCCCACGCGGAGCATGCGGTCCAAAGTTTCCACCGCCACCGGGATCGCCGCACGCGCGACGGCCATCATCTGGTGCTCTGTCAAGGGGCCCGCCTGAAAGTGCCACTCTCCCTGCGGAGCCCCACCAACCTCGTCGAACCTCGAAGCGTCGATCGTTGGCACGAACGCTTCATGGGGAGTCTACTGGGCCTGCTGCGCCCCAAAGTCAAACACGGGGCGCCGAACGTTCCGCGCCTTGCCAATCCACTGCCCACTCAAGACCAGACCGCCGAACGTGCTCCTCAGCCTGCCCGACCACTGAATCGCGCGCGCGAGGTCGTCGGGCACTTGGTCGAGCACGCATTGCGCGCCCGACCACAGATCTAACGGTCCGCCTCCCTTTTGGGCAAATCAAGCGCCCGGCCGCGACCTACCAGCGCCTGTGGCCCGGGGGTGCCACGTCGTTCTTTGACCACGCGACGACGATACGGACGTCCTCGAAGACGCAAGGCGCCCAGCTGCGCTGTCGCCTTGCCGCGCCCACGCGTCTCGCAAGCGAGCGGTCGGATTCGATGGCCGGCGCGTCTACTCCAACTCCCGATGAGATAAGCGACGTTTTGCAACGTCACGGACAATGCCTCGCAATACACTGGGTCGACGCAGCGTCGCGTCGATCTTCTCGACGCCCCCCGCGCCAGCGCAATCAACTGATCGACCATGCGACTGCTGGCTTCATCCAGCCTCGAATTTGTCGAACATGAGTCGGGGGAGAGGGCGGCAGGACGGAGCGGTCGCGCGCGAACATCGGCTATTTCGCATCGTGGGTCACACACAGCTTCAGCCTTCTGAGGAGGCCCACAGGCCTTCTGCTTCCCGAAAACCATGAGATACACGATCATCAGCGTCGGTTTTCGTCGTCGCGGCAGCGCCGGGCCTGGCGCAGACACCTCGCGGGCATAATACAATTCCATCCATGGCTACATCAGCGGGCGAATTCCAGCATCCTTCCTTGGTCATCGTCACGGGGACGCGAGTAGCGTCGTGATGCTAGTCGCTGTCTAAGCTTCGCAGGACTCAGCTTCGTTGGCGATTGCATCGGACATTGTCTGCAGAAGCTTCGCCTCTTTGAATTCGGGCACGTCTGAGCCCGCAATGGGCAAAGCCGTTGGCGCGGCGGCTAGCGCAGCAGCGCCGGGTTGCCCCGACGCGGTGCCCTCCTTCTTTCCAAGAGGAGAGGAAGTCTCAGCGCTGGCATTCGCCGTCGCGTCTACTTTCTCTTTTTCCCTCACGTTGGTACTGACGGCCTTCCTCCTGAGATCAGGCCGAGAAATGCACTCGTAAAACTCCTCTTCCCCCGCACCCTCTCTCCCCCGAAACCCGCCTGGCGCGGCCATGGGCGGCGAAGAACAAGCGCATCTGCAGCCGAAAGCAGGCGCGGGAGCAACGCGCGCGCACACACACACACACACATCATGACAAACTGCAGCATGCTCCAACTCCACTCTGCCCTCCAAGCTCATCCAATCGTCGACGCCGGACGAGGGAGGAGGAAGTGGACAGGTCGAGGGGAGCGGAGGCTGATAGGCACAACATGGCTTTTTTCCATGCGCGGTACGGCAGCTCTATGTTGTCCAGGTGGCGCCACTACGGATAATGGTTGGCGGCACGACGGGTTCCACGTTGCTTTACTGCTAGGTGGTGGGGGCGCATCCCCATCGGGTAACCTCGTTGGCTGCCCCGCCTTTCTCCTAAGTGCCTCTTTCTTCTTGTCAACACTGTTACCTGACCCCCCGTTTGGATCACGAGGGAGGAACTCGCACTTCGCTCTTTCGTACCTGGCGAATGTGCAGCAGTGCATACCACCATCCGCCGCCGCAACCGCTGGCGAGACCCTGGCAGCGGGCGGCAGCAGCGGCGGGGCGGCGGCGGCGGCAGCAGCCGCGGCGGCCAGGACAGGCCCCCCGTCCGCCAGAGCGAAAGCCGACCCGGCCGCGACGCTAGCCAAGGCGGCCGCCGCAGGCGGCCCGCGCGAGGCGGGCGCGGCGGCAGCAGCAGCGGCGGCCGCAGGGCCAGGGGCAGCCGCCGCCGGCCACCGCCGCCGCCAGCGGGGAGCCGGCAGCAGCAGCAGCAGCGGCAGCAGCAGCAGCAGCAGCATCAGCACCAGACGGGGCCGCCGTGGCGCCGAGGACGGCCGCAGGGGAAGGCCCAGCGGTGGCGACAGCAGCAGCGGCAGCAGCTGGGGCAGCAGGGGCAGCGGCAGCCTCGGCTCCGCCGCGGAGCAGCCCTAGGGGCCCAGCCAGGTGGGCGGCGGCCAAGCGTTGCCGCCGCCGCAGGGCCGCCCCCGTCGGCACGCAAGGGACCGAGGGCATGGCGAGGGGGCGGGAGCTTGGATGGAGGAGACGCCCGGAGAGGCGCCCCCTTTCCCAGCGCCCACCAGGCGTGCCGGAGGTCAGGACTGACCCCCAGCCCCCGGCGAGCGGCTGGCTCGGCGAACTTGCGCCAGAGGGCTTGAACGAAAGGCTACGGCCACACACACACACACACACACACACACACACAAACACTGGAACGCACGCACGCACGCAGGCACGCACACACGCACGCACGACCACACACGCACACACGCACACACGCAAACACGCTCACACGCACACACACACACACACACACAGAGACAGACACCCACACAGACACCCACACACACACACTCTTCTTGCAACGCTCCTATAAATCCGCCGACCCCTTGTGGGTCCTGGGGCGTGTGAGATTGTTCCCCCCATAATCCCCCCCTGGGGACCCTAAACCTCGAATCCCACCAGCCCTCTGGGCGTAGGTGGTCTAGAGCAGATCCTCTTCCACCCCTCCCTCTTCCCCCTTGGGGAGGGGTTTACCCCTCCCCCTACCCCCTCCCCTGGACCTGGACGGGGGGGGCCGCGGGTAGTTAGAGCGTCCAAGATGGCCCAAGACGGCTCCAAGAGCGCCTCAGAGAACCCAAGATGAGCTCCAAGATGGCTCAAGATAGCGCAAGATCGCTCACGATGGCTCCTAAGATGGTTCCAAGAAGCCCAAAGACGGCCCCAAGATAACTCCAAGTGGCCAAACAGCTCCCCAAGGAGGCCCCGAAGAGGCCAAAATCGTCCCAAAACCTAAGGAAAATCAATGATTTTTGCTTTCTCGCCTTTTCGCTTCCGATGGCCATCCGAGGCCTGGAGATGGCTCCAAGATGGCCCAAGAGGGCCCCAAGAGAGCCCCAAAAGAGCCCCAAGACGGCCCCAAGAGCGCCCAAGAGCACTCCAAGAGCGTTCCAAGAGGGGTCCAAGAGGCGATTTTAGGGGCTTCCGAGGGGGGACGCTAATTAAACCCCCCCTCTTGTTTGATCGACTCCCTCCAAGATGGCCCCAAAAGCGCCCCGAAGGCTCCCCAGAGCGCCTCAAGAGGGTCCCAAGAGGCGCCCAAGATGCCCCAAGGCGCCCAAAAAGCCCTCCAAGAGGCCCTCAAAAGACCCCCAAGAAGCTCCTTCCCCTCCTCCTCCTCCTCCTCCGATTCTTCCTCCTTCTCCGTCCTCCTCCTCCTCCTCCTCCTCCTCCTCTCCCCCTCCTCCTCCTCCTCCTCCTCCGACGACGACGACGACTCCTCTTCCATCCTCCCCCTCTCGGGGTCTGTGACAGCTTCCCCCGCCCTTTGTTATTCTGCATGCTCCCCGACTTCCCTGATCACCTCAACTCCCCTGAGCATCGTTTCTGGATGGGCTGGTGGGGATACGCGAAGCGTCAACAATTTGACCCCCCCCCCCGGGCCGCGCCAGGTTCCGGACAATGCGCGCCAAGGGGGGTGAACGCCCCAAAATGTTCCAAGAGGGCACCAAGACTCCCCCCCACGCGGTCCAAGAGGGCCGCGAATCGTTGGAATATCGACCCCAGACGCCGGCGATGGTCCCCAGACGCTCTCCGCAGCCTCCAAGACACCCCAAGGTGCCCCGAAGATGTGCCCCAACAGGGTCCCCAGACGCAAAAATGGCCCCATCCCATTCGTAAAACTTACATTTTTAGCAAACTCGCTTTCCCGCCTGTCCGACGCTCCAAGACGGCATATGACGCCCCCGAGGTCGCCCCAGGACGGCCCAAAAGGCCTCCAAGAGGGCCCCCACATTGCCCCAGAGGGCATCCAGACGGCCGAAGACGCACCCGACACGGCCCAAGGCCGCCTGAAAACGAGCCCACGAGAGGGCCGGGAGGGGGACCACGATCCAAAAGGCAACCAAAAGGCCCTCAGGAGCTCCCAGGAGGTCCCCCTAGACCCCCCAAGACGAACCCATGAGGCCCAAAAGGGGCCCCAAGAGACCCCAAAACGGCGCCCAGGAGGCCTCCAACCTGCACTCTTCCTCCCCCTCCCCGTCCTCCAGACTACGTCCTCCCGACTACTATCCATGAACCCTCTATTGTCGTCGTCGCCATCGTCGCCTTCTTCATCCCCGCACCCTACTCATCGCCCACTTCCTCGTCATCCTCCTCCTCCCCCTCCTTATCCTCATCCAACTCTTCCCTCCCCCCCCCTCCCCGCATCGGCAGATGTTCCTGAAATGGTAGGAGGCCCCCGAGAGGCCAACCACGAGATCCCGACCAACATCCTCTAACCTTCTACCGCCGTTAGGAATTCCACCCATCCACAACAAATTGGGTCGGCGGATGTGGCGTCAGCCTGGAGAATCGAACCAACGATTCATGTTGGGGGGTACCAGGAACTACGCCCGACTATGCGTCAAAGCGCGCGGCAAGGCAGCACTCCCACCGACAATCCCAGAGGGCAGGTTCGCATGGCAACCCCCGCCAACTTCACCTCATTCCTGGTACGTACTACATGCTTTGCGTGGGAGGGGCAGAATTTCAGTTGACCCACACCTGTTGGCGCCCCTTCCAAAGAAAATCCACGCCAGTGATCTTTCTATGCCCATCGGCTTGGAGACGTGCTCCTGAGGGCCTCTCGGAGCAGTGGATGTGGATACCTTACCCCGTCAGGGAGCGCGACCATTCGGTGGCAACTCATGGGAGTCTCCCATGCCATGTTACTGGCTCTTGCGAACCGACGCTGACCGACGCGAATCGAAGCTAATCAACGCATCGACGCTGATCGACGCTAACCAACGCTAAGTCGGCGTTATCT